GGGAAAGAGAAATTTCTCTTACACACACACAGAGGCAAATGACCTGCCATAATCCCTTCTCCTCTATTCTCCTCTCAGGATTTTGGGTATGGATATACTTGTACCCAGAGTGTTTGTCAAGCCAGTGGTCTAGGACTCAACTCATGGAGCCAGCTATGTGGGATTTAGTGCCTTAACCACCACTACAGCTGCTGGCCCCCAACTCCCAAACATTGTTATTCAACTTTGCAAATGGCATGGACTCATGTGGATTGGACTCTGTAGGAATCCAGAATCTCATCAAGCAAAGAGAAGCACCTGATTCATATCCCATCCCCAGGGTCTCTGATATATTGAAATAAAAGAATGATACACAGAATAATGTAAATCTTGGCTTTGCCAACAGACACCCTCTGTAAGACAGAAATAATGGTGCCCACCTCAAATGAGAGAAAATAAGAGTGCACGCAGGGCACCCAGCTCAGTGTCTGACTACAGTCATAGTACTAGCCGTCAAGGCGCTAGCAACAGAAGGAACCAGACACTGTTGGCTAAGACCTGGCTCCTCTAACCTGCAGTACAATGAGTCAGTAGGTCCTTTTCCCTATACCTATTTCCCTGCTCACTGAAAACAGGCAGTCCACCTCTCCCTTGGTTGCTCCAGGAGGCTGTGTGTTGACAAAGCACCCTATGAGATAGATCCCCAGGAAGACAAGGCAAGGTTATGGTCATTTATTTTACTGTTTTTAATGAAGCACTGAGCTTTTGCAAAGATGAGCATATTTCAAGTGACACAGCCAAGGTCCTTGCCATTAGCTCTCCTGGACATTTCTCTCAATGCAGTGTCCTTAGAAGATCCCTTTGGATTGGAAAGATGGATAGAGGAGGCGAGGAAAGTAAGCATCAAGAAAGGAAGGCACTCACCAAGTACAGGAGCTAAGAAGGCTCTTGAGTTCCCTAAGTCTTTTTCACTCTGGGCCCTTTCTTTTGCCTTTTTTTTTTTTTTTTTTTCTGAAACTCCTTATAACCTTGTTATATTACCTGTGCCTCTTTCTGTAAAATGTTGTTCTAAGAGAACTGTCTTAAAAATCTGTTTGCACTGGGACCAGCAGTTAGCGTAATGGCTATGTCCCTGGACTCCCATGTAGTAGACCACAGTTTGAGTCCCAGACCCAATGGCTTAAAACTCACACCGGGCGTGTGTGCATGTGTGCCCAAGATCTCGAGAGGAGAAGGGGTTGCGGTGTGGCCATCCCCCCCGGGGGGGTGATTTCTTGCTTTCTGTCTGTCTGGTGAGCGCACGTGCCCTATAGCAAAACCCTCTCCAAAAAAAAAAAAAAAAATCTGTTTGCACTAACATGTAAATGACTGCTATGCTATCTCATGTTTAGAAGGGAAGAGTTTTTGTTTTTGTTTATTTTTTTGGAGAGGTTTTCGTTATAGGGAGCGTGCACTCGCCAGCCAGACAGAGAGAGACATAGAGACAGAAAGCGAGAAATCACCCCCCAGGGGGGATGGTCACGCCACAATCCTTTCTCCTCCATTCTCCTCTCGGGATCTTGGGCACACACACACACGCGCCCGGCGTGAGTTTTAAGCCACCGGGTCCGGGACGCAAACCGTGGTCGACTACGTGGGAGTCCAGCGACATAGCCATTACGCTAACTGCTGGTTCCCTAGAAGGGGAAAGTTTTTAAGAGACAGCGCCAGGGCAAGTGAAAGCCAGATGGGCACTGGGCAACTCTGTGCCTCACAGAGAAAAGATAACTAAACATGGGCAAAGGAGATCTTAAGAACAGCATGGTGGTTAAGAGTGCTGGATTTCCACATGGCCGACCATGGTTCAAGTCCTGGACCTGGCATCTTGCTTTCTTACTTTTCTTCTCTTGCTCTGTCCCTCTCTGGTCAAATTAAAATAAAATAAAGTTAAATAATTCTTTTAAAAATGGGGGTGGAGTTTTCAATGACATGAACACTGTCAAGTGTGTAGGGGAGACAGAGGGTTTTCCTAATGATTTGGAAAGTCTACTCCTTCCAGAAAAGCAATGAGTGTTCTACAGCCTGGTCTTGGCAGGGGGTCCAGGTCATTTGGTCATCGACTAAGCAATTTCTGAGCCCTCCATCTTCTTCCCAGAAGTAGGAAAGTGGGCAAGGGCATGATGGGGGAGGAAAGGATGGGGAGCTAGGTGGAACAGAGGGACCTAAGGTAGGGAGGGATGACTCCTACCTAACCCCTCTCTGTTTCTCCAAGGCCTGACTTTCAATGAAATAGGGAGTAAGGAGCTCTGGCCATCTAACCCTTTGGAGTACTCTCAGCCTCCTCTTTTAGGCCCTCCTGCCCTATGAGACATCATACATGGCTGGTATGTTTGGGAGGGGCTTGTCTCATGGCCAGGTGCAGCAAACTTGGAGATGACCTATATACGGCCCAGGGCCCCCGACTGCCTTATGGCCTGGGGTCAAAGTAAGGGCTGGATCAGATTATACTACCTGAAGGTTGGGGGCTAGGAGGTGACTCAGGTTACCAGAGAGGGTCAGAGCAGAGACAGTGAGAAGGATTGGCAAGGATGCACCTGCTCTCCCCCAGGGTGGCCCACCCAGCAGGACGACATGATGCCAGAGTGTGAAGTCCCAGCCTCCAGCAGTCACTTCTATTCTCCAAAACAGAAGAAACAGACATGGGTCAGAGTCAGTCCTGGAACACAAACACCAGTATATTTTATATGTGCACAAAGATGAGAAGGAAGAGACAGAGACCCATGGAGACACGGAGCAGGCAATGGGAGCACAAGCCAGACGTATGTCTTTCTCAGGAGCCACCCAGCTGGGAGACGGTCCCACCCACTTCAAAGGCCCATTCACAGAGCTGGGGGCTGCAGCTCCTCCAGGTCTGGGGTGGCCTCAGGGTGGAAGGCACTCTCCTGCCTTAGCCACAGCTCCTTGGGGTGAGGGCTGGTCCTCTCACCTCTCTGCATCCTCTGATGACAGTGTCTGCACAGCCCAGGGGTTCGTAAATGCAGGTTCTCATGAACTCGCCCACTCAGCGGCTGCCTCACCAGGAGGCCCATGCAGAGCAAGGGACCAGGACAGAAGGGCTTCACGGGCATTCCCTAGGTATTATTGCTATGAATAAGCATAGGCCATTTTGACTCACTGGCATCGGAGAGGGACTGGATACCAAGCAGACTTCAGAAGCGGCTCAACCATGCAGGGCAGCACATTAAGATCTGTAACTCAGAGATGGCTGCCATGTCCGGTGGAGAGAGGCCCAGGGCACGAGACATTTATAAACAGCCAACAGACCCTCCCTACCAGCCCTCTGCACATAGGGCTGCGATAACTCCAAAGCTTGGGTCCCTGGTCACTATGAAATGGAGGCCCTAAATAAATCCCCCCAAAATGAGTTGATATCTGGGCTACCCCTGGTGAGATCTGAACCTGCAGATCCCGTGGTCAGGCCACGGGTGGTCACCTCCATCGGGGCCTCTGTGCCCTCTGAAGTAACAGGAGTAGCAGGGCACCTAGAGGAAGCAGAACCAGAATACCACACATTGCCAGGCACACACGTTTGCTCCAGAGCCTCCTGCCCTTGGGAGTTCACAGGGCCCGGGGAGGAAATGGTGCCAGGGAATGCCCACAAGGCAACTGGAGTGGCGAGACCTGGCTCAGGCTTACAATTACGGAGGCCTTCTGCTGGGAGACATCAGCAGGCTGGCCGCTGGACTCAGCTGTGGAAAGGGAGTGTGAAGGTGGGTGGTGTGGTCTAGGCCTGTGGGAGGGCCTGGAGAGCTGCTGGGGACAGACTGAAATGACATGGTGCTGGGGTAAGGGACCAAGGAAATGATTGCCTAAAGGGAACAGGAAAGCCAGACAATTCTCCACCTGGAACCCTCTCCACCTGCAGATGGAAGGCAATCTATCCCCGCTGGGAGCCTGGCTTCTGTAATGCCCAAAGCCCTGGAATTGAGGCCACAATAAAATCAGTGGTAGGGTTGGCCCCCACAGAATGTAGTTCATCCCTGGATCTGAAGAGCCTGCCCAGGAAATGCCCTGCACCCTGCTCTGGACAGGGCCAATTGCACAAAAATCCTGCCAAAGGCAGAACCTCCAAATCTTTCTCCTGACCAGGACATCACTGTTGGCCACCCACCCCTGCCCATTCGGGCCTGCACCCTGGCTGGTCCTGCCTGCACAGCTAGGTGAGGCAGTAAGCAAGGGAAGAGATTCTCTCTGCAGGTGGTATTGTCACGTTTTAATGATTCGTAGAGGGCAAGGCTAATTTCCTAAGAGTCCTAATGTGGTCCAGAAGAGACCATGTACCACAATGGGTCACTTTCTGATGGTCCCCTCACCTGAGGGGTGAGGCAGAGGCAGAGCCAGAAGTGGGCTGGACTGAGTATTTCATCTGTCCACTGCCAGCAATGGACCTGTCATAGGGAGGGGCCACCAAGATGACAATACCCATGAAGATGGCAGGGTTAATACTGTTTAAGGAGTAAGCTCAAAGGATCAGCCACGCTGGGAGGGGTGGGAGAGAGGGGCAGCCCTGCGAAGGTTTGCTACAGGGCTGAGGCTATGGCAGAACCAGAAATGCTCCCCTCCTGGATGCTCCAAAGAGCCTTCCAAGTCTGAAAGGTCCTCCTTGCTCAGCTTCTGTGGGACACCTTCTCTTCCACCCCACAGAAGAAAATGCACTAGCTAGGGCATAGAAGACCTAGAACTGTCCCTTTCCCTGGCTGAACTAACTTGCCTCTAGGTCCCCACTGTGGATCTGCAGGGACCCATCTTCATCTGACTGCACTGGGAAGTTAAATTCATCTCCAGATGGGCCCCTGCACAGAGGCACCACCAGGTCCACCAGACCTCAGGGCCTCCCCAGTGGTCAGGCCAGTAGGAACAGTGTGGGAGGGAGGGAAGGCTGAGGACGGCCTGGTGCCTGACTTAGGCTTCTATTTCTGGCAGCTGCTGTTTTGGCTAGGGAGTTGGGGATAGGGATGGGGGAGGTGGGGTGACTTGACATGGATAAAAGGGGGGCTAGTGGTAAAGGCATTGAAAATAAGAGAGAAAGGGGGAAACGCCAACCAACACACGGGGATTGAAACCTCCAAAAGCCCAAGGTTGGTGGGAATCCAGCACCACTGGGGGCCCCCCAGAAGGCCAAGGGAGCAGCGTGGGGCCCTGGGGGAGGGGAGAGGAGCCAAGGGAAGGTTTCCCAGCCCTGCAGACCAACACTGCTACCAAGCAGCCTCCTGGCTGCCCAGTTTCTTGGGCTGCAGCTCAGCCGGCCCCGGGGAGGTATTGGTTGCAAGCAAGCACCTGAATATTGCCTAATGGAACCAGCGAAGCCCGACTAAATCCAGGTGAGAGGGGGAGGTGGCGGCAGCAGCGGCCCCAGACCCCCTCAGGCCCTGCCTCCCACCTGCTGCGCATTCTCGGTGGCCCTTGGCTGGGACAGAGACTGCTGCTTCCAAGGTCATCCATGTAGTCACTCGCTGCTCAGCCACGGCCGGCCTCTTAACTAGGCCAAGAACCAGGGGCCCTTCCCAATGTCCCCTGGCTGCCTCCACACTCGCCTCCCAGCACCGGCCCCAACTGCGGGGTACCAGGCTGTGTGTGCTCTCCTGGGCTGAGGCCCAGCGGGGCAGGGCTTGTGCTGTGCGGAAGGGGCAACCCCACCAGCTTGGTCTCTTTGTCCACGGGTTCCACGAGAGACCCCCGCACCCCCTCCCATACCCCAGCTCAGTCAGTCTTCACGTGGCCATTGGCCAGGGCCAGGGCCCCTCCAGGCTCCCCGGGCTCGGCGTCCTTGTCGAAGCGCAGGCGGAGGGTGTTGCGGATGATGAACTGCTCCATGATGAGCGCCCCGCAGAACCAGGGCACTGCGTACTCCAGGGTGATGAGGCCCATGAAGTCAAAGTCGAACTGGGAGTAGTCCCAGGGGCAGGCGTTGAACTGGCGCAGGATGAAGCCGGTGGTGAACTCCCACAGGTAGGTCCAGAGCGTGTAGATGAGGCAGCGCACGAGCAGCGGGCAGCGGCCGCGCAGCCGCAGGTACATGCGCTCCACGATGAGGATGGAGGTGCCGTAGATGAAGAGCGCCCACACGCTCGTGACCCCCGGGAACTTCCAGTTAAAGTTCAGCACGAACTCCCAGGCCGCCGTGAACATCACCTCGCAGAAGTAGCCGTGGATGGCATACAGGTACCAGCGCGACAGCGCCGTCAGCGGCTCGGCGGAGGCCATGGCGCAGACTGCGGCTGGCTGCTGGGGAACAGGGGAGACAGATGAAGGGGGAGCTCCCGCCGGGCCTGCCCACCGCCCAGCCCCGCTCAGGTGCGCCCAGGCTGGAGAGGATTTCACACCTGCTCCTACCTCTTTGGTTACCAGCCATCTCCTTGACCTTATTCCCTGTTCATTCATTCCATAGTCCTCACCTTGGCCAGCTGGGCTGGAGAATTGAAAGGAAGAAAACAGCCCACACTCCTTCCCTGCAACTCTGCTGCAATGCCACTTGGACAAGGCATTTGCGACACTCTACAAGGATTCCTTTCAGATTGTGTGTGTTCAGCTGAAGAGCTAGCCATTCTGGCCCACTAATCTCCCCCCCCCACCTCTGGGCTACCAGCTGGTTTCTCACTAGGCCCATCCGCTGGGGACCCCATCTCTCCCCTCACTTCTCTGCAAACTATTCCACCTTGTGTCTCTGAGATCTTTATAAGTAGCCCATCACAGTCGACTTTGTGTCTGTGTTAACATATACATAAAATTTACCTAACCATTTTTTAAATAATTATTGCACTTAACTTCATTTATTTTAATTTGACCAGAGAGGGACAGAGACACACACACACACACAGAGAGAGAGAGAGAAAGTGGGAAAGCAAGCCACCAGGTGCAGAACTTGAACCGCAGTCGGCCATGTGAGAGTCCAGTGCCCTTAGCTACCATGCCACCTGCCGGCCCCTACCTAACCATTTTTAAGTATGCAGTTGAGCGGTTTTAAGTACATTTCCCATTGTTGTGCAACCATCACCACCTTCCATCTCCAGAACCTTTTCATCATCCCAAACTGAAATTCTGTACCCATTAAATGCTAACTCCCAGTTCCTTCCCCCCCACCCTCCCCCAGCTCCTGGAGAGCACCATTTTACTTTGTCTCTGAATTTCACCACATATGTGGAATCATACAGTATTTGTCCTTTTCTGGCGGGCTTATTTCAGTTAGTATAATGTCCTCGAGGTTCATCCATGTTGCGTGTGTCAGAATATCCTTCCTTATGAAGGCTGAATAATATGGTCTTCAGACTACATTTGGTTTGTCCATTCATCTGCTGATAGACACCTGGGTGGCTTCCACCTTTTGGCTAGTGTGACTGCTCTTGCTGTGAACATTAGGTACAAAATCTCTCTTCAAGACGCTGCTTTCGGTTCTTGTGATATACTCAGAAGCAGGATTGCTAGATTATATGGTAATTCTATGGTTAACCTTTGGAAACGCCATACTGTTTTCCATAGTGATGACAACATATATTCCTACCAGCAAAGCTCAAGTGTTCCAGTTTCCCCACATCCTCACCAACATCTGTTATTTGTTTTTGTTTTTTCATTTATAATGGCCATTCTAATGCAGGAGTAGTATCTCATTGTGGTCACATTTGTCTTTAACTGCTACATTAAGTGGGGTTTTGGTGTTTAGTTTCAATATTGAGGGGAAATCGGACTGACAGAGGAGAGAGTCTTGCCTTTTTATTCCCTTCCCCTCCTCCACTGGTCCAGGCCTGGCTCTCAGCCTGCTTCCCTGAAGACTGGCCTAGCCACAGGCCTCTGCACTTTCTCCTTGCCCTCTACAGTGAGTGTCTGGACCACACATTTGGCCCGTTGTCAAATGACTTCCTGATGTACAGTCTGGATGACCCAACTAGCCTGTACACTCCTTGAGGGCAGTAACTTGCACAGCCCCCTGTGTAGCAACCATGGCATAGGGCTCTCCCACAGTTTATGGGGACACTAGTGAGGGAGAGCACAGGGTTTCATCAAAAATGGAAACGCAATGGCCAGCAGGTAGCATGGAGGTTAAGGCACTGAATCCCCCATGGCCAGCTGCATGGTTCAGTCCTGGAGCTGGCAGCCTGAAAATCATGCTGGGCACCTGTGTGTGCATGCCAATTCCAAGAGGAGACTGGAAAAGAGATTGTGGTGTGGCCAACCACCTGGAAGGCGATTTCTCACTTTCCCTCTCTCTTTCTCTTTCTCCCTGTCTCTCTCTGGTGAGTGCATGTACCCTATAGCAAAAACAAAACAAAAAACAGGGCTTGAAGACACGAGTCTCAGCTCTGCCAGCGGGTACCTGGCTTGCCATCTCTGTCAATCTCCTCGCCAGGGTGGGAGAGGGAGAGGTCAATGAGCTGGCATCTGCAGTTCACCTCCTGTCTGGGACTCCCACACTCATCTCTCAGCTAAAGCAGGCCTAGAAACAGTAATACCCACCCACCTTTGTGCTTTGCTCTGCAGCCTTCCCAGGATTTTCATTCACATTTTTTTTCATTGGATATTACATAATTAAGGTTCATCTGAAAAATAGGTCATTTTACTCCCATTTTTTAAGGTGAGACAGTTGGGGCTCAGAGAAGGAATATCATTTATCCCAGAGCCAATAAATGAAAGCACTGAGTCTAGAACCAATATCACCAGATTTCTACTTCAAAACTCATCCCACTGCTTGGGACCAGCAGTTAGCGTAATGGCTATGTCACTGGATTCCCACGTGGTCGAATGCGGTTCGAGTCCCAGGCCCAGTGGCTTAAACTCACACTGGGCGCGTGTGCGTGCATGCCCAAGATCCCAAGAGGAGAATGGAGAAGGGATTGCGGTGTGGCCATCCCCCCTGGGGGGTAATTTCGTGCCTTAATGCCACTCCCCCACTCAGATATTCAATGGTTCCCTATTTCCCAATGAAACTCTATGGCATCCCTGGCCTGGCATTCAAGACTCTTCATATCGCTCCAATCTACTCCTTTAGCCTATTTTCACAACCCAGCCCTCTGTGCCTAACCTGTACTTTGTCGATCCTCTTCATTCTGTGTAATGTGCCTGTCTCCTCTTACTGCCACAAGTACAAGCCCAAGTTACAGGTGACCTACAGAAAGAAATCTCTTTCACCTCCCCAGCTACAAGTCTTTTCTACCTATTCCAAATTTCCACAGCACTTACTCTCCTTCTTTCTCTCTCCTTCTGGTACAGATTATTTTCTGTTGTGTTATGTTGCTAGTTTTCAGTTCCTAGCCAGACTTCTTCTCTGTGTTCTGCACCTATATATTCTGCTCCTTCCTGGACACCTCCACCTAAATCTTCCACAGGCATCTCTAACCTCTTTCCTAAACAGAACCTGTTCTCTCATCTCCGAAACTTTCTTCCCTCCTATAACGCCATCCTGATAATAGTACCACCCTGTACCAGTTAGAAGCCAGAGGTCCTGGAGTCGCTCTGGCTTCCTCTGCCACCTCTCAGAGTAAGACCTCTGCCTATCTGGCTCAGCAGCATACCACCGGGCCTGGCATAGTGCCCGGCATACAACAAACACTCAATACAAGAAGGGGGATGTTTCTTAACCAATAAGCAAATGCCACATAACAAATCATCCCCAAACTCAGCTATCACTTACTATTACTACTCATGTGTCTTTGGAATGGCAGATTTGGGCTGGCCTTGGTTGTGACCCTGCAAGTCATCTATGAACTCTGTGGCTTTGATTCACCTGTCTTTTGTTTTTGTTTTTGTTTGCTTTCTCATTAGAGGTGTTTGCCACAGGGCACGCACACTCTGCCAGAAAGACCTCCGGAGACAGAGACAGAAAGCAAGAAATCACCCCCCCACCACCACAATCCCGTCTCTTCCATTCTCCTCTCAGGATGTTGGGCACGCACACGCCCGCACCTGGCGTGAGTTTAAGCTACTGGGTCTGAGACTTGAACCACGGTTCACTACATGGGAGTCCAGCGACATAGCCATTATGCCAACTGCTGGTCCCCAACTGTCATTCTTCATACACCTTGACCCAGGTGTATTCCTCTCAGGGCAAGGGGTGAGACACAAAAGTCCAACCTCACAAACGTTTTTCAAGACTCTGATTAATGCATGTCCACTAACATCCCACCAGCCAAGGCAAGTCACATGGCAACTCCACCAAGTTGGCCACGAACTCCCACCCTTTCTCAATAGCCTTAGAATTCATCTCCTCTTTTTTCCTCTCCTGTTGCTTCTGCTCTGGTTCAAGCCCTCATCGCACTTCACCTGGATATGACCCCCAAAGCCTCTCAACCTTGCCTTGCTCTCATTCAACTCCAAACGCAGGTGGAAAAAGTAGGTTAAAAGAGCAACCTTTCAATGCAAACCTACTGTTTCTCCCCACTGAAAACCCATGAATGGATCTCCTGCACTTCACCCTGTAAAGTGCAAACTCCTATGGATGCCTGACAAAACCCATGCAACCCATCTCTGCCTCAGAGCCTATCCCGAGTCTCTACCTCACTGTTACTGCTACCCAGCATGCCCTTCCCTCCTACTATAAAAATAAAACTTTATCTTAGAAACATTTGTTGAATGATATGTATTAATCCTCTTTGTACCCTATATACAGAAGATGCTTGATATATTTGCCAAACAAATGAACCTAAGGAAAACCGAAGTCATGTGAAATGAATGCAAGGGCTCCCCAACAACTCACAGGTTTAAACATGGTGTAATGATTAAGTCTGGGAGGGTCTGGGGACTGGCAGGTGGCATGGTGGTTAAGGGCACTGGACTCTCACATGGCCAAGTGAGAGTAGTTCAAGTCTTGGACAGTTTGCTTTCTCACTTTCTCTCTCTGTCTCTCTCTCTTGCTTTCATGCTCTCTCTGTCCCTCTCTGGTCAAATTTTAATTAATTAATTAATTAAATAGATCATTCTGGGGGGGGTGGGAAGCTCTGGGGGGTCTGATCCTGGCGGCCTGGGCTGGAGTCCTGGCTGATACTCTTCACCTGTGGGATCTAGGGCACATTATCCATCTGCTCATTGCCTCAGTTTCCTTATAGGCAAAGTGAGGATAAGAGTCCATGATGGAACGGGACCCATATGGGAAAGGTCTGGGGTTTGCAGCCTAGGGACCTCCTGGGCTTCCTGTGTTCAGTCCCTGAATATGTGGGACATGCATGTGCCCACGCATGAGCCAGGCTGGTTAGACCGGGGTAGATCACAGAGTAGCCTGTCGGGGGTACCTGTCT